TGAATGAGGATGAGGATTTTGAAGTTGACTCGAAACCTGATAGGTAACCAATGCAAGGACTTGAAAACAGGTGTAATGCATCCCTGATAGGATTCTCGCTGCGCTGTCATATTCTGAACATATTGAAGATTGCTCAGTGTGGATTTAATTTCCCCAGTTAACAGGATGTGCATTTATTAATTCTAGAAAAAAACATACAATGTGGCTGTAAGGAAAGAAGTAAAGTGAGTGTTTTGAATGGTACAAATGGAAGAAGCTTGTCGAACTTTGGAGCCAGACCATATGTCTGTTCGATGTTTTGTGTTTGTTGTATGGTTACTTTCGTGCTGTGCTCCACCTCTTATTCTGGTGTGCTCCGTGTTTATTGGCTGCCAAATTGAGGCGACCTCGTAGTACTTTCGCGGTGCAATAGGAGATTTGGAACTGATGAAAAGTCGTGAGGGAATCGTGTAATTAGTCACCCCCTTATAGACAAATTATAGTCGTATAATTTGACACCCTCAAGGACAGAAAAGGCAGCGAGGTTCAGCAACCGCAGTCGGAGAGGTCATGCTCTCCGACTAGAAGTCGTGTCGAGTCCTGTAGTGTGACAAAGGCTTAACAATTCTCCTATCCTATCAACAGGACAGAACCACCATTGACCATCCTTCATCAGCAGCTATGCTTGCGTAGTGACAGGACATTCCATAGTTGTCTTCCAAAGGCTGATTAGATGTACTGTACATGTTAATAACTACCAGAACTGTGTTAATACACAAGTTAGCATTATAGTCAGAAAAGACAATGTGTTAGATCTGCAGTTTTGTGCACATTTTCTGTACCTTTCTTTATAACTGTGAGTTTACTTCATAATTCACTGATAACTTCCATAATTAAGTTGTAAATGAAGTTTCTCTACATGTTGTTTCTCATGGTTTTGTGGCAATACTTTAGTTGACCTCTTGAAAAAGAGGATGTTGATTGTCAAATGTAAACCATAAAGCCTGAAATACTTAAACAACAGAATAACAGTTCTTTCAGATATCTGTAATAAAATTCCTGTGTAGTGTTCTCTCATGAGACACCAGTTCTGTAGAGTTTGGGCATTTACGGGGACAATTATTAATTGTAGCCGTAAATCACAAAATGATTATTTTAATGGCTTTAGAATCCAACCTTGCGATATAACTCAAACAACGCGCACACACAGGTACTAATACACAAGTATACATTTATTTATACATAAAATATGCGTATAAACCTAACAGATCTTATAAAGAGGGTTATCAGAATACAAAAGGTATATATTCAATCAGTCACGAAGAGTTACCTATATCAAGAGGACATACGTTCGGTATATCATTCATTTAGACCGTTTCGTAAACGAACTTGGTTATAACTTCTACATTAGATACTCAAAACAATCTACATAACTCTTAGGAATTAAATTGATATCAACTGGGTGAGATAACAATTGAATTCTTAAGCTGTAATGCAGTGAAGTTGAATACTCATCCAATCTCTTGGGATTCAGATCTCCTGCGGGCACAATTGCTGTCCAATCCGCGCTCTCTGGCTCCGTGCCAGGCTGTGCTGTGCGGCTTGCGACGGTATGCTGCTGATGCTCTCTGAAGACCGGCTAGTTAGTTTTGGCGGAAACTAGCAAGAGTTTGTGCACAGGAGAAAAGATGACTGTGGGTCTCAGCAGGTCATGAAGATTTCGTTCCTGATGAAGCGCTAGTTCTGAATACTGATTCAGCTGTCCACGGTTCCGACCCGTTTCATGAGGCTTGCTGCTGATGCTAACCTCAGGTGGATCTTTTGGTTACTGGTGGCATCCTCCACTCTCGACTCTTAGAACAAAGCAAAGTTCTGGCACTCGGACACACTGGCCGTTCTGTGGTTGTCCGATTCTCAGGATGGCCAGGAGCCGCGCTGCGAGAATGTCCTGCCCTTGGGAGCCTTTCTGCTCCTGGGCCATCCTGCCCTGGAATTCTTTAGAATAGTCTCGCACCCCTGGAATTCTCCCTAGAATTTCTCCTACTGGAATAGTCCACCGGGAGCTCTGTGTTATCTATTTTTACCTGGAGGAACTTCAGCTCGTTCATTGGCTGAAAGTTTCATGGGCATCAGAGACCCACGTGGGTTACTCGGCCCTACCAGTCCCTGATTGGTTGATCAAGGTGAGATATGAGTCACTTACTCCTGACACTTAGGAATGCAGTTGAGATGTCCATCTGGCACTCCCTAGACAGATAGGCGCCAATGGATGACCATTGATCATGATAGCCAGGCTTAGCTAAGTGTATCCCCATTTGGGAGCTGTCCCTTATCAAAAGAAAACATCTTTAAATCAGCCTGCATGAATAGCTTCTCTGTGGCTGCACCACAGAGATGGAGAGAGATGGGGCCTCATTTAGGAAAGCACAGCAACACTTAATTCTGTCTTATTAACAAGCATTGCCGCTACACCTGTAAACTTTTAAACTGTTAATGTCTCAAGAAGAGGGAGTTCTTTTACAAGTAAATTTTTCTATTGACCTTTAAAATGTTCCAAAATGTTGATAGTCCTCTCATTGCCATATCCTTTCTGTTGCGGAGCATTATTCCTCATTCAGTCTTTATTTCATTTGAAAAACGTTTGGACACCATTAACTCTTGTTCATTCATACCTGTTTTAAAGAGATTGATGTTAATGCATTGCATTTGACAAACATTCATATGCATAACCTTTTTAAGTATTTTTAGACTTTATAGATTGCTTTTGTTTCATTTGGCTTGTAGAATAACCCTTAATTCCTCAAATGTGTTCTTTCACTATGCCTAAATATTCAACACTCTTGGTAAATCTAGCTCCTTGATAATTGTAATTAGTAATTCTATAATTGTGTTGATCAACAATTAATCAAAAACAGCTGGGTGTGTTAAAACCTTGTAATGGACATTGAGTGACATACTGTAAATCTAGACAAATCATACTGGAAATGAAAGCTCTGGGATGGTGTTAATCATGTAATAAATATATTTTGCTCAAAGTTAGTTTCTGCTTTGAGCAATGTAAGAACTAAAAACAAAATGAAAAAAATAGATATTTTAGATATGCTCTAATGTGAATTCAACAGGGTTAATATTTATTACAGACAATAATGTAAGCCTCTAAGCTCCACAGAGGTTCGACTTGCACTATGAACTCCATAGAGGTTCGACTTGCACTATTGTTCATTACAAAAAATGTCATTTTTCCAAAAACATAGTTTAATTGATGAGCCACTGTCTGTCTGCCTCTCCAATTGCAGCTGAGGACCTCCTTCAACAAGGCCTTCAGCATCAAGAAGGGACCCAAATCGGCCACATCATATTCAGACATAGAGGAAATTGCCACACCAGACTCTTCTGCCCCATCTTCCCCAAAACTGGTCCATGAAGGGGCAGAGAATACAGCCTTGTCCCTCACATCATCCACATCCACTTCCTCCTCAGTGTAAGTTTGATTATACTTTTTGACCTTTTTGAATAGGTCATTATTTTCGCTTAGAGTGTAGATAAAATAATTTATGTTCGCTGGACTTAAGTTCATCATTACCTGTTTTTATAGCACAACATGTGATTGTTTGCAGTTAAATTGAAAACATTTTTTATGTTGTGTGATGATGGTATATACATATTTAAAAAACGAAAAGGTAGTGCATAATACAGTATATTTATTTAATACTCATTTAAATATTTCCACAGCTATAGCCCAACTATGCCTTTTCTATGTTCTAGGATCTGTTGCTTCAAAGCACAGATTAGTGTTAAACCAAGGGCAAACACAAGGCAATGGCAGTCTGGCGTGTAAAAGATGTAAGCCTATTCAACATGTTGCTTATTTGTCAAGTAGAGAGAGAAGACGTGGGATTGTCTTTAAACTATATTAAGGGCCTGTAATGTTGTTCACAACAAGACTTGAGATTTTGAATCTCTCAAAAGAAGAATATTTAAAATTGTTTATGTACTACAAATAGGGTGGCATGGTGGTGCAAGGATTCTGGGTGAGTGCTGGGTTAAATTCTGGACACGGGGTGCTATCTGCATGGAGTTTGTATGTTCTCCCTGCGTTTGTGTGGGTTTAGTCTGAGCACTCCAGTTTCCTCTCATAGTCCCAAAACACACAGTTGCAAGAAAAAGTTTGTGAACCCTTTGGAATAACCTCAATTTCTGCATTAATTACTTATAAGAGTAATTAATGCAGAAATCCAGGTAATTAATACTTAAAAGTAATTAATGCAGAAATTGAGGTAATTCCAAAGGGTTCACAAACTTTTTCTTGCAACTGTGTGTTTTGGGACTATGAGACGAAAATGGAGTGCTGAAATGTGGTCTGATCTTTAAGTCATCATGATAGACAAACACAATCTGCTTAAACTAATAACACAAACAATTGTACTTCTTCTTGTCAATATTGAACACATTGTTTAAACATTCACAGTCCACGCTAGACAAAGTATGTGAACCCTTGTATTTAGTAACGGGTAGAACCTCCAGCAATAACCTCCACCCAATGTTTCCTGTAGCTGCTGATGAGATTTGCACAACAGTTAGGAGGAATTTTAGACCATTCCTCCTTCCAAAACTGTTTCAGTTCATTGATTATTTCTGGGATTCCTTGCGTGAACAGCTCTCTTCAGTCATGCCACAGCATCTAAATTGGGTTGAGGTTTGTACTCTGACTTAGCCATTCCAGAACACGATTTTCTTCTGTTTAAGCCATTCTGTTGTTGATTTACACCCGTGTTTCGGGTCATTGTCTTGTTGCATCACCCAACTTCTATTAAGCTTCAGGTGACGGATTGCCACCCTGACATTCTCCTGTAAAATTTCTTGATACACTTTTGAATTCATTGGTCCCTCTATGATAGCAAGTTGCCCAGGCCTTGCGGCAGCAAAGCAACCCCAAACCATGATGCTCCCTCCACCATGCTTCACGGTTGGGATGAGGTTTTGGTTTTGGTGTTGGTGTGCAGTTTTTTTTTTTTCCCTCCAAGCAACGTTTCTGCCGAAGAGTTCAGCTTTTGTCTCATCCATCCACAGAACATTGTCCCATTCGCATTGTGGAACATCCAGGTGGTCTTTTGAATACTTGAGATGTACAGCAAAGGTTTTTTTTTGGAGAGCAGTGGTTTGCTCTGTGGTGTCCTTCCATTAACATCATTCTTGTTCAGTGTTTTTCTTATAATGTAGACATGAACAGAGACTTTGGCAAGTTCAAGAGATTTCTGCAGGTCCTTTGCTGTTACCCTAGGGTTCTTTTTCACCTCCTTCAGCATTGTATGCTGCGCTCTTGCTGTGATCTTTGCAGGACGCCCACTCCTAGGGAGAGTAGCAACAGTACTGAATATCCTCCATTTGTAGACAGTTTGTCTTACTGTGGATTGATGAACACTCAGGCCTTTAGAATTGCTTTTGTAGCTTTTTCCAGCTTTATGCATCTTTTTATCAGGGCATGGTTCACATGAACAGTTCTTTATAGAGTAGACTCTGTCAGTAGCCAAGCTTTGTGTGCCTTTTTTATAGGGCAGGGCACCTCCAACCCACATCTCCAATCTCATCTCATCTCATTGATTGGAACACCTGACTCCAATTAGTTTCGGGAGAAGTCATTAGCCTAGAGGTTCACATACTTTTTCCAACCAAGACTGTGAATGTTTAAACGATGTGTTCAGTACTGACAAGAAGAAGTACAATTGTTTGTGTGTTATTAGTTTAAGCAGATTGTGTTTGTCTATTGTTGTGACTTGAAGTTGAAGATCAGACCACATTTTTATGAGTAATTATTGCGGAAATCCAGGTAATTCCAAAGGGTTCACAAACTTCTTGCAACTGTATTTAATTGGCTTCAGGTAATTGCGCCTGTTGATTGCTGGAATAGGCTTCAGCTCCTCTGCAAGCCTGAATTGGAAGAAGCGCTTCGAAAATGGATGGATGAAGGAACTTACTAGAAATAAGTGGAAACATATCCTCTGTTTAGAAAAAAAAGGTTCTACTATGCAACCATAGTCATTAAGTAGTATTATGGATTGTTCATGAGAAAAATGCTTTTCATTTATTACCTGATTTCAATTTTTCTGTGAGGTCAAATCTGGAATTTTATGATGGTACTCGTAAAGGCAATTATTAATTGTAAACCCCCTCTTTTTTGTGATCAGAATTTTTGAGGGGAATGAGGAACCAGAGAATGAGGAGAAGGTGGTATCAGAGCTGCGCTCGGAATTATGGGAGAAGGAAATGAAACTGACAGATATCCGACTGGAGGCCCTTAGCTCTGCCCACCAGCTGGAGCAGCTCCGGGAAGCAATGAACAATATGCAGGTACCGTAAACTTTAAATTGGGTCATCATACTGTCTGTATTTCACCTTCTCACCTAAGCTGTCTCAAGTTCCTTTAAATACCTGTACCTTCATTTTGGATGGTACAGGCAATTTTCAGTTTTTACTGTGCTACAGCACCCTCCTGTTTTTTTTAAATCTATACATCTTAAGTTTTGATGGAGAGAAAGCATTCCTCTTTCTAACTATAAGACTTACATGGATCTAATAGATTCAGGAGAAAACCTCATTTTTCCATGCGGTTCATGATACGATATACAGATGCAGCCATTCAAAATGGGTGAGGTATTTCGCGGCATACCCCGGTGGGCATGTCACAGTATCACGCGGTGTCACGTGTGTCACGTGTGTCACGTGACTAACTATCCGGCGTCGCCTTGTAAAACCGCCAGGGGGAGCTTAACCTCTCATGTACAGCATTTGAGCCTTTAATTTTGAACTGTGTATTACAGCAT